CTGTTGCAACAGCTACCGCTTGTTTGCTGCTGATGGCATAGCACTGCAACATGCTGCCACTGCCGACAGCCAGCCAGCCCTGTAGCTTGGCGCCATCTGCCACCGCAGCTGCTGCTTCCAGGGGCAGCCACACAAGCGCTGCTGTGCTGCCCACGGCCGCAGCTGGCACCGCGGCCAAGTGTTGCATGTGGGGTCCCCTCCATAGCAGCAGCCTGCCAGTCCCGTCACAGCTGGCCACAAGCGAAGCGGAATTGCCAGTGGCACTAACTGCAAAGGCTGTGATTGCCTGCACATGAGCTACTGCTGCTGCTTGCCACGAGCTGACCACAGCCAGCTGTTTGTGCACCTGCAGCACAAGAAAACACGACCATCAACCAACAAGAATATCCAAAACATAGCCAGGCGGTGATCTAGCAACACAGCCCACCTGTATACTCATTGAGTCATCCTCTTGCACTGTGGCGAAGGTGCGACCCGCCAGGAACAGCCTGCTGCTGCCATCTGCGTTTGCGCAACTGGCATCGTTGCTGCTGGATGTGAAGACGTGCAGCAGCGGGAAGCCTTCTTCATCTGACACCCAGCAGCACAGCCGCTGCAGCAAGTGCGACAGGCCCGAGCCCGCAGTGCTGGCCGGCAGGTCCCACGTGTGGCGGCCCCACAGAACTGCTGCTGGGCGGGTGCTGCTGCTACCGCCGCTGGTGCTGCTGAGGCTGCCGCCATACCCGGCGCTCATGACGATAGCTGACAGACCGCGCACGGCATGCAAATGCAACAGCACCTTGGAGGTACCATCAGTAGCACTGTTGTCTAAGGCAGCAGTGAAGAGCCACAGAACGGGTGCCGCCACGCGCCGCGGCTGCTTGTGCAGCAGCAGGGGTCCCGCATGGCGTGCCCACAATGCCACATGCTGCAGACCATGCTGCGCACCAGGGACGCCTGGTTTGCCACCTGTTGCGCCTGCTGCTGCTGCCAGTGCCGCACCTGCTGCTGTGGTGGAGGGGTCAATCAGCAGCGCCATGCAAAAGTAGCTTGTGATCGCAGGCGCAGCAGCCCCAAGCGCCGCTGCTGCAGCCGCGGCTGCCCTGACATCCCGGGGGCTGCTGGGGGCAGCCCCTGGTGAACCTGCGCCACTGGGGTGTGTGCCCTTGCTGCCACTGCCAGGGGTTCGGCTGGGCGACAGCCGCTGCAGCTGCGGGCTGCTCTTGAAGGGGGGCTGCGCACTGCCAGCAGCTGCAGCGGCACGGACGGGATGAAGGCTGCTGCTGCTCTCTGTCAGCACGAGTGTCTCGACCCACACACGAATAGTGCGGTCTGCATGTGGGCGGGCCAATGCGTGCTAAACCTGGGGTTAGTGCGCACAACTGCAGGAGCGCCACCGTCAGCAAAGCTGAATGCAAGCCTGTAACCTAAAAAACCGTCTACTTGGCATCAAGAAGTCGTGCAGGGCAATGCATGCATGGAGACCCGCAGTTGCTACCGACCCTCGGTGAGCGTCATTAGTGCGGGGTGGTCCTCTGCTTCTGTGGCCGCTATTGCTGCTGAGGTGGGCGAGGCGGAGTCGGGCATCCCAGCCTCGCCTTTGCTGGCTCCTGCTGCCGCTGCTGCAGTGCTGCCGCTGCTTGCTGTTGCCATACACAATACATCTTTCTGCAGCACACCCGGGGACCATTGCAGACCTGCGCAAGGAAGGCCGCGAAGGGTGAGCTGGGTATACGGCAAATGCAACAAACACGGTCAACACACCGGTTAATCGAGGAAAATGCATCGCACATAAAACTCCACAAAAAAGCACACTGCGGCAGGCAAGCAAGAGGTGCCCACGGCACCTGTCACGGCTACAGGATGCCGCAGCTTCTCCTGGCCCACCGAGGGCATGCCAGCGGCATAGTGCCGCTGACGCTGCTCCCGCAGCTGCGGCCACCAAATGCTGGCATAGCGCTCGTCCTCGCTGCTCTCCCTGGTGGGGCTGCTGGAGCTGCTGGTAGAGCGCACACCTTTTGCTGGGCAGCTGGTGCTCTGGGTGCCTCTACCTGGGCTACAGCTGCTGCTGGCCTCGGCGGCGGTGCTGCGCCCTGCTGCTGTGGCCGATGGCGCATACACGCCGACGCCAGCACAGATCAACCGCTGTGGGGTTGGTGTCAGCACCGACCATGCGGCCCTGAGCACTGCCTCTGTTGCTGGCGCAGCGCCAGAAATGCCGGGAGGCAGAGGCACCTGAAGCTGCTCATGGCGCCAGTGTGGGGCGGGCGCCGCCAACGGGCGCAGGTGCCACATGGTCAGCATGCCATCGCTGCTGCTTGTCAGAATGCCATCCAGCTGCTGTGTCCAGCTGCAGTACAGTCGGCAGCCAGAGGGAGTTGAGATGGCGGGTCTGCTGGTGCATCAGTGCAGTCAGGCAGCGGCTCCCACCTGATGGCCAGAACCTCAGCATGGCCACAATGCACTGCCGCCACCTGGTGCCACAGCCTGGTGTGCTGTTTGACACTGGGCGTGTGGGCGCCGCCGCAGCTGCTGGTCTGCTGGTGGAAGAGGTACGCTGCCAGGCCCTCCAACGACGCAACCACCAACGTGTCTTGGCTGCAGGCTGCCAGCAGCAGGTGGGGCCCGCCGCCAAAAGCCACGTGCAGCACTGGATCCCCTAGGGGCGATGGTGCCGGTGCAGCAACGCAGCCCAAGGTCGAGGGCCGCGCCGTAACCACCGTGGCAGTGGCTGCCGGGTAATGCAGGTCCATCACCAGCACCATCTCTAGCTGCTGCTGCTCCATCTTGTCCTGGCACGCGCTGCCGATGTGATCCAACTGCAAGCGGGGCGGTGCGGCTGAGCAGGTGTTCAATGTGATCTCCACGGCGGCGGCTAATGTGATCTCCACAGCGGCGGCGGAACCTCCTTACCTGGCGCGCACAACCGACCACCACAGACCCTGCACTCGAGCCATATGCCACGAAGTGCAGGCCCTCGAGGCCCGGAACGAGGAAGTCGACGGCAGGGGAGGTGGGAGCGCCGGCAACCCTGTCAGCAATTTGCAAAACCAAGGGCCCCTCCTCCATCTAGAACTCCGGCGCCCGCAAAGTTGGGGCCAGGCCAAATTAACTTGGTCGGAACTCAGCTGCACTCACAACCACAAATGACATGCGTCAACATGAAGAAGAAGAGGAGAAGAAGAAGAAGAACACACGATGGCCTCAGGGGGCGATGCTCCGACCCTGCTGGCGCAGCGCGCCCGTCGTTGCCTCCAGGGGCAGCTGCCTTGTCAACTATCCAAGCACCTTCCATGCATTCCTAAACATTGTATTAATGGTCAAAAGTCAAGGAATAAATTCACTCTGATAATGCTGCTCAGCGGCACCTCGTACACCTCTCTCCGCTGCTTGGCATTGAGGCCACGCCCCTTGCCGCCCTTATTGGCTCGCACGTCGGCAAGCCGCCACCGCGTCACCCCGGCTGCGGAATCCAGCTCTACAAAGCTCAGCACCCTGGTCTGCACCTGCACTCGAGGGGCAACACACGGAAAGGTGGCACATTCACAGCATGAAGGCCCAAACCTGCAGGAGCCACATCCCTCCAATGCCCCACCTTGTCATCCTCCAGGCGGCTCTCCACCTTCATTGCCAACTCCGCAAAACGCTCAAGCTCGCCAGGCACTCGCACCTGCCGCTCGGCACCCTGCAGTGGAAGGTCATTCATGCCAGAGATGTTGCAAAGAACATGGCGAAGCCGTCGCATCTACCACGGCCATCGCTGCTCCAGCTGCCCTGCTGCGCACCGGCGAGGAAACCTCGATGTCCAGCTCTCCAACTGCTTCGCCTAGCGCTGCCTCAATTGCCTCGTAGTACAGCGTAGAAAACTTGGCAACTTCCTCCAGGCTGGGGCCAAAAGGGTCTGCAAACAATAGGTTATTGGATAAAAACACCACACCTCTGACAGAACAACGGCGATACATCCACCCCCCACCCACATTCATGACCACCTGAAAGCTTGTCCAGCCTGATGTCCAGCCGTCCGTTGGATGCAAGGAATGAGTAGAGTTGAATGTCTTCCAGCTCCCTCTCCCTCCTGCCCAACACCTCCTGCACCAAGTCCAACGCCTTCTCCCCCCTGCAACAACTCGAGCAAGGAAGTAGGCCGACACCGGCGCAGCGGCCGACGCCGGCGCAGCGGCCAGGGCGGCGGACGACGTACCACGCGACCTCTGCAGTACTAATGCCTCCCACGGACACAGCCTCTTCTCCTGCAGAAGCCTCCTCAGACTCGCAACAAGATGCCACCGCACCCTGCGTCACCTGCAAAGCACAGACCTTTCCCTGTTAACAGCGCCGTGCTACTCTGTGGTGTCAAGCAAAGCAGCAACCGTGAAATGCATGGGTGGGCGTTGCAGGATGCAAGCCCTGCAGGGCCCAGCCTGCAATGGACTCACAATCATGCGCACGCCCTGCAGCGCACGAGGCAGCACAAATTTATGAGCATCATGTGGGGAGCGGTGGGCGTGCCGCTGCCAGTTTCCCGCCTCTGCCGCCGCTGCTGCCAACACTTTTTTGGAATGGTAGGGTGTTGCACTTCGCAGTGGATGGTGCCGTAACTGCTGCAACAAGTTTAGAATTCGATGGACCCTCATGTGACTCATTCGACAAGCAGTGATATCGAAAGATTCGATTAACGACAGAAGAAGAAGACGACGCAGACAAAGAGAGAACACGCGGGACGCGTGGTGTACTTCGGCGTCCTGGTTGGAATCGTTTTCTTCAAGCCCTGGCTCCCGTGTGTAAAACGAGGGGGAACATAGGTGCAGGTCAGCCTGGCTCGATCAGCCGCCGCCTCTTGGCCGCCGCTGCCCGCCTCCCGGCCACCGGCGCCGGCGCCGCCGGTACGGCCGCTGCTGGCGCCGCTGCCGCCACCGCTGCCGCCGCCGTGGCTGCCCCTGCCCCGCCGCTGCCCCACCGCACTCCACCCTCGTCGCTACCGCCGCTGCTGCCGCGCCTGTGCGGCGCTTTGCCGGCTGGGTGAGTTATTGCCGTTTAACGGCTACGGTTATGTACAGCCAACGGGAACCCCTGCTAAGTAGAATGCAATTTAACAAATCACCCGCCCAAGCGCAGGCACGCAGTGCTGCCGGAGGGCAGCGCATTGGTCCGCCCCACAACCGCCGCATGGGGATAGCCTGCGTTCTTCAGGGCCGCCACGCAGCGCTCCGCCTCCTCCGCTGGGACCGAAGCCAGCAGGCCTCCAGCTGCAGCGCGGGGGTAGGTGCATGCTTACATTCACGACCTCCAACCGGTGCCACGGCTTGGGCAGCGCACCTGTCTGCGGGTCCACCAGCACTGCAAACAGGCCGGCCTCCAGGCTGTCCGGGCCGCCCTCCAACACAGCCGCAACTGTTGCGTTGTCACGGTGCAGCGAGCTGCGGAACCCGTCGCAGGCACACTGCAGCGCGCCCTCCAACACGGGAACTGCTGCTGCATCCAAGGAGACCACCACCTGCACGACGCAAGCAGCGACCCGGTCAAACACACTACTCTGCCAACCTCCTGGCACTCGAGTCATCCGGCCTATGGTAAAGCACCTTGCTCGCGCGTGCCATCTCAGCCAAGTGGCCTAGCACGCCAAAGCCGGTGACATCGGTGCAGGCAGTGACGCCGTGCGCTCGCAATACAGCAACGGCAGGGCCTGCAATCACAGAATCAAGTCGATGCAGAGACACTTTGGCCAGCGTGATTCCCTTTGATACTTGAACTCACCATTACTCTGTTTCATGCACTCGACTGCAGCCTCCATCCAGCGCCCCTTGCTGCCTCCTCGCATCTCAGCCGCAAGCAAGATGCCTGCAGATGGGTAGCCACACACGGATATGAACTGGCTGGTTGGCAGGCGGACATATGCCTCGAGGCATCTGCGTCAAATCACAGGCCAGGCTGCCACACGCAAGGGGTATGCGTGCGCGCTCCAACCTGTGCCAACCGGCTTGGTGATGATGACTGCCAGCCCCGGCTCCATGCCACGCTTGGACAGTATCTCCTCGCGAGGCACGCTACCACTCACAGCAAAGCCCACTGCCAGCTCAGCACCCTCGCTGCTGTGACCACCCACCAAGGCACAGCCCGCAGCATGCAGCGTGCTGAGCGCTCCTGCAAGCATCTGTACGAGGTCCTCTTCCATTGATGCAGCTGTCGCCAAGGGCACCACGGCGACGGCCAAAGCAGCCATGGGAGCCGCCCCTGCAAACAAGTTGCTTGCAACAAGCGCCGCCATATGTTGGACATGGGCTACTGCAGCCCAGCATTCCCCCAGCAAGCACACGTACCCATGGCGTGGCAGTCGCTCAGGGCGTGGTTGGCTGCAATCTGCCCAAACAGGTAGGGATCTGAGACCATTGTTCTGAAGAAATCCACGGTTTGCACCTGCAAAGCAACCAGGGGCGCAATGCACCCCCTGGCTAAACACCTGCAAACCCTTGCATGCCAGCAACCCGTTCAGCATCACAAGCAGCTCACCATCACATGTCCAGGCGGCGGTGGCTCCAGCACAGCAGCGTCGTCCGGTTCGTCCAGGCCTATCAACACTGCTTGCTGCTGTGCATTGGCGCGCTGGCACCCCATATCCTGCAGGCGCTGCAGTACCAGGCCCAGGCTGGTGGCCCCGACTTTGCTGCCACATCCACCGCAGCGCATCTTTGCTGCAGCCAGCAGTGCCAACTCTTCTGCCGATAGTCCTCGCTCTAGTGCATGAGGCAGCTGGTGTGGCGACTGCGAGCTCCTGAGTTGCTCCATGGTCGCAAAGTCCAGGTCAGCACCAAACTTGGCCATGAACGCCCGATCAATCCAGTCCTTCCATGCCCACAGCCAGCCGCCTTGCATGCCTGCATGCGACAGCGAGCCGGCAGTTGTTAGCAGCATGTGGCCTAGCCACTTTCAGGTGCATGCCAGCTGCTTCATCCAGCGACCGTGCAACCAGGTATTTGCACTGGTGGCATGGCAGTGGGTGCTCACCTAGCCAGCTTTTGGTGGCCACTGCATACTTGTCTCCGGCAGTAATAAGAGAAAGGAAGCTTTTCTGGGGAATCCAAGGCTGCAGCGCCTGCCCAAGCAGGGCATGTCGCAGGTTCTCTGCCAGAGGTGGCCCCTGCAACCCGCGCAGGTAGCAGCATTTGTGTAGAACAAAATGGTCGCTCACAGTTCATACCTTTGCAACCATCTGGCTCTTACCGCTCGAACAGCAAACACGCCTGCCTTGGGGCGGGGGTGAGACGAGTTTGAGGCCACGTCGCCTGCCGCAAACACATTAGGTGGACCTCCGTCGCTCCTCAAGAAGTCGTCCACCAGCAGAAAGCCATCTGGAGCCACAGATTTTGCCACAGCAACGCATTTACAGCAATGTTCAAGATCCGTGCTTGCAGCAGAACCCAACAAGGCGGTTGTCCCTACAAATACATTGGTGAACCTGCCTGAGTCTGTAGGCAGCCCTGTATCTGCCAGCCAGCCAGCCGCGCTAGCTTGCGTGCTCCACAGGCACTCGTCAAAGGAAATGCGCTGCCCATCGGCCAGCAGTAGCGCAGAAGGCTGTACCTCGACTACTCCACCGCTCACTTCATACAGCGCGATGCCACGCTCCTGCAGTGGGGCAAGGGAGCAGAGGCAAGGCCTTCGCGCTCGTATGACACAACAACAGCGATGACGCAACTGAGCACACATATCCTGTACCCACACGTAGAAGTGGCAGGAATGCTCGGCGCGCATAGGGATTCAACCCTGAAAGGATAGGGACTCGGGAGATCACATGCACAACCAGCTCGCTGGTGAATCCAGCCCGGTGGCGCTCCTGCGACAGCCTGCGACACAGAACAAGAATTTCTTTGGCAGCCCTGTCTAATGATCGAGCCTGAAGGCCAAAGATCAAGAACGTAGACAGCATGCAACTCCTCAAGCAGCATGCAAGCTGACCTGTACTGCAGCGCACATGCCAGCTCCACACCGCTGGCGCCACCGCCAACAACAGCCACTCGGAGGGGCAGGTCCACCGTGGTGGCCTTGTTCAGGAGCGCCTCAAACCGCGCCACCACCCTGCGGCGTGCACATGGGAACAACATTGCAGATTCCCAGATTGCCTAGCCCAACATCTCAGTAGCCCAACAACTCAGCGGACACAACACAAGCCCACCCGCTGATGGGCTTGACGGGGGTGGTGAAATCAGCGGCCCCTGGTACGGTGGACAACGCAGGCGTGATGCCCAGGTTGAGCGAAACCACATCGTACGGCAGCGGTGGCCTGTCATGCAGCAGCACCCTCTGCCCCTGTAGCCAGAGAGTGGGCCCAGCACCGACATCAATACCCGCTACGTGTGGCGGTGCCACTGCCAAGGTCGGCTGTCGGTTGGCCGGCTGGCTTACCTGAGTGTCCAGTCCCTGTGCCTCAGCATGCACCAGCCGGGCCCCGGCAAAGCGCGCCAGGCGGGACAGGTCGATATGGACGTCATCATAAGTATAGAAGCCCGAGATGTAGCCGGGCAGCATGCCGCTACGTGGTTGTTTGGGTGTTGGCAGGAAGGGGATTCATTTTCAAGATAAGGCGCACTTGTATGCTTGGGCACCCAGCTTCCAAGGTTATTGTAACCCTGCACTTCCCTACAACTGGCACAACACGCGAGGCTGACCTGTAGGGGGTGTGAATCGCTGACGTTATGAGCGTGAGTCGCACCCCCGCCATCGGGCTCATGCCAAACTGCTTCAGCACCGTGACATGAGAGTGACCGCCGCCTACCAGCACGAGGTCCTGCATTCACATAAGCAACAATGGAAGGCGCAGCGGAAAATGCGCAGCAGGGGACGCAACATAGCAGCGGCGGCGCCGGTGGCGGGAGCGGGCGACGGCATCGCCGGTGGGCGTGACCGGGCCTGCCCAACAGTAAGCGCCGCTGCCCGAAGAAATACTCACGCGAAGGACCGGCACGGCAGGATGCATGAAATGTTGACGAAGATCGGGGAGAGCTTCCTGATTGTTGCGCTAAGGCCCAGTTCACATGCACGGTTTTCGAGTGAAATCCTGGGCCTTTCCAGAGTGGTAGTTGGCCGCGATCGGTGAAAACTGATTAGGTTTCTGCGGCCGGAGGCTGGCAACGGGAAGATTTCAGCTGGGCTGAAATCAGAAAATCGGAGGGCGGGGCGATTTCAGTTTTCAGGCCTGGATTTCAGGCGTTCATCCGGAGCTGGCAGTGAAATCAACTGCCACGATTTCGAGTGAAAACCGTGCATGTGAACTGGGCCTAACAAGCACCAGCGCTGATCAGCGAGGTTGATTAGCATCAGCGCTGGCAGAGGTTGGCCACCAGGTCGCGCCACGCTGGCGCCAGCGGTGCTGCTGCACTCAGAAATACTACTGGCCTTAAGCGTGTACGTTTTAACGAGATTTTGTAACCGTTTGGGAGCTGATTTTGACCGGAATTGGCCAAATTTGGCTGTACTTCAGGTGTACTTCGACGGTTTCCCTGCGGCGCTGTTCGATTGTCTTTCACCGTCCCTGGACGGTTTCAGCCTGAAAAATGACCGTTTCTGGCCCAAAACAATTCAAATGTGGGGCAGTCGGCGCCGCTGGAAAGCCCAGATGTAAGACGACGGCCTTGACTGGCAGCGGGCTCGGGACTGAGTCACAGGCCGGCCAAGCTTGCCAGGAAATCCTTGACGCGGTCGTCGACCGATGCCGGGGCCGCTCCAGCCGCAGGCGCCGCTGGCCGCTGGGGCTGCAGCATCCTTGGCACCAGCCCAAAACCTGCAGCAGCATGCGCATTCACATGCATTCACGAATCACGTTGCCGACCAGGTGCGCTGGAAACGAAGCCTGCAAATCCTGAGGCCATTGAGCACTGCGCAAGCCATACCTGAGGCCGATGGTGCGGGCTTGGCCACGACTTTGGTGGGAGGTTGTTCTCGTCGTACGCGCACAGATGCCGGGACCAGGGAAGTCACTGCATAGTATCAAACAGCAAAATTATCGGCACGTAATAGCAGCACTGGAGGAAACGGGGAGGTGAGAGGAAGCAAGGCGCGGCTCAATAGCCTGGCATGTCCAAAAAAGCTGGCTTGTCAGCGACAGAGCAAGCGCGGCAATCCGCGAGCTCACCTCGTTTGTCCTCATGCGCCTTGGGTAGTGGCACCACTGTGCTCTTGCCGCTAATCACCGCACCCTGCCCCACCTTGCGCAGCTGCTGGTCGGCCTCGTAGCTGCCCGACAGAGGTGGCATGTGGGACAGCTCTGGCGGCGGGGGTTGCGGCGGCAATAGGCCGACATCTGCTGGCCGGGCAATGACGCCACGTGGTGGGGGTCCTGCGGGTAATGCAAAAATGATCAGGCCTCGTCTGCACCTCGCAGAACAAGAGCCCAGGGCTGGTACAGCAATGCCAATTGTTGCGCAAGAACACCCACTTGACGACGGTGGCAAGAAGGCTCCTGGCGGGGGCCCTGCTGGTGGCGGCATGGGGGGTGGCGGCAGTGGTGGCTGTGCTGCGCCTCCTGCACCCAACCCTGCTGTGGCTGCACCTGGCGGCGGACCCGGAGGCGGCGGCAGCAGCTTGCTAGCATCTACACCAGGCGGTGGCCCAGGTGGTGGCGGCAGAGGTGCCATGCCCGGAGGCAGGCCTCGTGGCGGCAGCAGCGGTGCCATGCCCGGAGGCGGGCCGAGCGGGGGGGGCAGAGGGCCGATGCCGGGCGGCGGCCCGGGTGGCGGTGGTAGCGGTGTGGCACCTGCACAGAGAACTTGAATGATCGGCAACGCAGCAACCGCGTGGTACACCCTCACCACACAATGCCCACTCCTCAGCACACAATGCCGACGCAGGCCCACCTTCTGGCAATGGGGGCAGTCGTGACGGCGGCGGTGGCAGCCCTGTCGGCAACGGCGGCTGCTTGGGCACCGGCAGCGGCAGGCCAGCAGCGGCGCCCGACCCGGAAGGGCCCGTCTTGTACCTGGATGGCCAGGACCAGGTTCAGTCATAGGCGCCTCGTGAGATTGAGGCCAGACAACTAAAGAAGGAGTGCAAAGGCGAATGCAAGGGACTTCGCGATGGTGCTGCTGCCAGCAGGCTCACTTCTGCGGCTTGCCGGGGGGTGGGATGCCGAGCGGATTGAGCGTGGGATGATAGTACACTGCAAGGCTCAGATAGTGGGAGCAGGCAGGCAGACACGTGTCAGGTGCGATCTCAGGTGCGATCTACAGGGAATGCCAGCAACCTGCGTGGCTGACCCATTGGCAGGGTGGGAAGCTTGGCGGCACAGCATGCAGTCCCAGCACACACCCGAATCCTCTGGCCGTCCCACTGGCTCTGCCGCAATCTCCTCTAGCCCGCGGCCTCCCATGCGCGCTGCCGCCTCCTCCTCCTGCAATGCCAGTACAGGGCCAGCCTGTCGATCCTCAAGCAGCTCATAAGATGCAACCCAGCCGCAGTTGCTCCACACACTTTGGAAGCTGGCCAGCCTTGCTGCGTTTTGGGGGGGGATCGGGTCAGGGTACTTCCTCCTTGCCCTGCTGCCCACCCGTCCCCCCCAGACCGTGCACCGTGGGCCTTCACAGACGCGCAATTTGCCCATGCCTCACCATCTTGCGCTTGATCGCCAGGTCGTATGCCTGCTGCAGCGCCTTCTTCTTCAGCCTGCACAGAGCAAAAATAGTGCAGTAACAGCAACAGCAGCATCAGTCATCGCAGCTGGCTGGCCAGGGCACCATGTGCCGCATCACACGGCAACGAGTCCCATGGGATCGGATGCATCGAACCTGCCA